TAAACTTTATGCAATTGCATAATATTTAGTGGTAGATGTTTATTTTATATTGATGGATGACTGTAAACAAGGAACTCTAGTAACTTTGACGTATAGGAGAAAATTAAAAATTCACTACATAGTTAAGATTCAGTCGATTCACGATATGATGATCATCGAAACTAACATGTTAATTATAGAGATCACTAGTGCTCAAACTTTTGTAACAAAATGTTCGCATCAATTTTGAGCCAACTTAAATTTGACCGTAAATCACACAAACACAAGAACACACATATACTCTGGTTCACCCTAAATTGGTGTCACAACCCGTCCTAATTTTTTATTATCGATGGCGTGAATTGACTAAATTACCCTTGGACGTTAGTTGGTGTTGTGGGTGATATGTTTTGGTTGTGGTCCAATTCATGTTAAGTCCTAATTGTTTGGACCCAATTAGAACTAAATTTTTTCCTAGTTTGTGGTTGGTTGTTTTGTTGCCAACTAGGATCACACACACTCACACACACCCATACCCATACCCGTTGACCTTTCTCTCTCCTCCCTCTCTCGGTTTTCATCCATTATCCGTACAATTGTACGGTCAACCTGTGAACCAATCAATTCTGGCACGGATCAAGGTTTTGGAAGCCATTTTCGTGCTTGTGAGCTTAGGAACCCATCCATACCTTTCATTGGATGTGAAGCCTTTGTTTTCCCGAGAAACCAAGAACCCCGATTTTGAGCATTGTTCATGTGATCGTAATTGTGGACTTTTCAAGGAGTTTTGAGGTCCTAAGAAGCTTTAGAACATCTTCACAAAGCTCGGGGAAGAAAGTTGGAGTGTTTTGGACGTCGGGAAGCTTAGTTTGACGAGTTTCAAATTTTGGCCAGATTATCAAGGTTTCTCCGATGAGATCCCGTGGATTTCAAGGCTTGAAAGTGGTAAGAATGTGTTCTACTCACTCTAAGCCTCATTTTGAGACAAATTTCATGGATTTTGGTGAAAAAATGAGTAAGGAATGAAGGTTTGAATATTTTCCAAAAGCCAGCGATCGCAGGGGCGCCGGCAACGGTTTCCGGTGAACCAAGGAAGACAAAGAAGAATATTCCATCAAGTCTGACGGAATATTCTAACGGTGTCACGTAACGCCGTTAACTTTTATTAAGGTTTTAACGGAATATTCCTAACGGCCGTTAGGCTCAATTAGGGTTTGGTCGTGCGTGGGGGTGCGTCTGGTTGTGCCCTTACTGGCGGGTGGCGGCGCGTGGGTGGTCCAAAAATTATTTTAAAAATATGGGGATGTTCATGAGGTTGAGTAGATCGTGTTGGTATATTCAAACACCCCATTTGAGCATTGTATGAGAAGTTATTAGCTAATTTTGGTTGTGTGCTTTAATTAATGTTTATTTAGTTATTTTGCATATAGGTGAGACCTATCCAGAGGACGAGCGCCATCAATCGAGGCTTAGGGGCTACGACCCTTCGACATACCAGTGAGTGGGCTTTTGGTTTTCCGTATATACCTATATACTTGAGATTTTTCCCAGAAAATGAATTTGAATGATTATACATTTTGAAATGCCATGCAAAGTATCTGCCTATTTTATTTATGCATTAGTAGTTGCATATATTTATGATTGGTGCTGCGGACGCACATGTAAGTGCCAGGTAAGTTCATAAATTAAAGATATGAGATTGCTTTAGTTATGCGAGATATGATGTGATGCATTGAGAGCTCATAAACCTGCACCCCAGTGTTAGTGCTCCCGCCCAGAGTTAGGGCACAGTCCTTCACGTGATGTTCATCTCCCGCACCATATACTTACCTTGGATCCAAGTTAGGTGCACAGGTTTGTCGTACAGACCATTATAAGTGGTTCCGACTCGTAGGTGACCCGCGATCATTCGCACAATCTTCACGTAATCGTAGCACTAGAGCATATTTATTTTACACCTAGTCTTGTCGTACATACCACTTTAAGTAGTTCCGACTTGTGTGCAGGATTTGATATGATTGAGAATGGTTATGAACTATAGACTCAGCCGGGCAGGTCACGTTAGGTGGATCCGGATGATATGATATATGGCATTAATATATTTTGACTGGATTACTTATAGCATTTCATTAAGATACTTTGGCATGGTATATTTCTATGGATTTTCATTATGAGCATGATTTATGATATAGCATATATTATTTTTCTGGGAAATAATATAGGTTTTATGACGAGGGATTAGCGTTTTTGATAAATGAAATGAATTTGAAAAGCTTTGTTTTTGCCCACTCACACTTTTTGTTTTGCGCCCCTCCAGGTTTTAGGTAAAAGTGCTTTGGTGGCTCATGGGGATTTTGACAGTGGTTCTGACAGAACATCACAAATGTAGGATCACCTTTGGGTGTTGTATAATTAGTACTTGTCCAATCGGACTGCACTTAGACTATTTATGCTCTGCTCTGATTATGTATTTCACACTTAATCTCGCACTAGCACCTTATTTTAGCTACTACTTTTAGTAGTTTGGTTTTTATTCATTCGTATTTCCTTATATCTCTATTGCTTCCGTACTGTGCACATGGCTACGTCACCATCACGTGACGACCAGTATGCCTCGATCTAGGTCGGGGTGTGTCAGTTGGGGCTACATTCACGTTAGTGATCCAAGTTCACCATGTAAATATATGTTATAATGGGCATAAAGGCTTTTTGCCTTTGAGAGAGTAAATAGGCTATAAGAGGCCATCCCTAAAATGAGGGTAAGGGACCCCTTTATGGGACAAAGGCTTCCTCTTTGATCGAAAAAACAAAAACCAAGGGCTTCCTCACCTCGTACATAGGTTTAAGTAGTGAGACCAAACTATGATACAACAACTCTTAACCTGGCTGTTCAAGTAAATATTTCTCTGGAGATGGATCCTCGGACCTCAGCAAAACTCCCCAAGGGATTAGCATTTTGGGTGTATAGTCGGGCTTTTACTTGTTGATGTGCTACAAGAAGAGCACAAAGTTAGTTCTGAAATGTGCATTTGTGGGGCCTTAGGTGTAGGCCTTGAGGCTCGCAATCAAAACTAACTAAGTGCTAGGCGTGCCTGCTCTGCCCCTTACTATCTAGTGAAAATAATAGGGGGTCGTGTAACTCCGCTTCTAGGATCTCCTCAAATACTGGCTGACTAGCTCCAGATCCTTCCTTGTTTTTTCCCTTATCATTTTTTTCTTCAAGCAAAGGAAATAGGGGGATAACTGGTTCTTTCTTAAGACTAGCCTCTCTTATCACTTCCCTGGCATAACCATTTTTTGGAGTAGAGTACTCCAGATCTAATCTCATTTGCAAACTCCCTATTAAAAAACAGAGTCCACTTACTTCTCCTCTGGTTTCTAGCATGATCTTCTCCATACTTTTCAGCACTTGTACAATGGTGGCTTGCAAATCTTCATTGGTTACCTTCCTTCCTGACTTCTCGGATGAAGTCAGGCTTTCTAGAATAGCTGGTCCTTGTAGGGAAGGAAAATCCTCTGGATGATTTGTCATGCTTGATCTTGGTAAACACTAGGGTGGCTCATATTCTGTGTTCCACTTGAAGGTTTTCTCCTTCATTCTTTTTCATGGCATACAAGACTAATGGAATCCCATTGGAAGTGCCAAAACTATGTTCGGGCAAAGATTTCTCTGGAGATGGATCCTCGGGCCTCAGCACAGCTTCCCAGGGGATTGGCACTTTGGGTGTATAGTCGAGCTTTTGCTTGTTGATATGCTACAAGAAGAGCACATAGTTAGTTCTGCAAGGTGCCTTTGTGGGGCCTTAGGTGTAGGCCTTGAGGCTCGCAATCAAAACTAACTAAGTGCTAAGTGTGCCACTGCTATCTTAGTATAGCAAATGTAGAGCAAGTGTGTTTTAAGTCGATTACTTGCGTTCCAAGTTACGCGGACTTCTTGTTATCAAAGGATTGTCGTGGATGGCTTAAGTCCACATTAAGTTCTCTTTCTTGCCTTGTAAACAAGGACTTTTAGTTCATAGTCTTGTATGTTCGAATGAAGGGAGTCCAAATCCCTTTAAGCCATTTACGTGGTTCTTGATTGATTTTAATGATAACATATCCATTAAACTAACCAGATCCATATGCAAATAAGACTCTTAAAGTAGGAAAGCAGGTCGATATGACTTGAATACATGCTGGAGAATACATTAAGTAATAGATCTACTAATTTAGCAAACAAACAAAGAGCGTCGGACAAGATTTCACCTTGTCTGTTAAGGTTGAACTTTCTTGCAGTCACTTCTCTTTGAATTAACAGGGGTTTATATGCTAAAAAGGGATGGATGGTAAACAAGTTTACACAAGGGAATCGATACTATACCACTAAGGGAGATAACAGAGCTTTAAACTAGACAAGAGATAGATTGTCGCTAAAAATGACTGAATCTGGGTTGATTTCAGCTTTTGGATGCAAATCTGGCTTGAGAGCAGAGTTTGTATGCTTGTTTGTTTAATTGGTTGAGTGTCCTTGTCTCTGGGGGCCTCTTCCTCCTTTTATAGGCAATTTAGCCTGACTGCTGCAACTTTGTTCTTGCCCGAAAGCGCTTAGAGGATAGTGAGTCTTCAGCTTTTTACTTGGAATGCCACTGGAAAGTATTCTTTGGTTGGTAGTAGGTTAGTCTTCATTACTTGTCACTTCAAAGGTAAGCACGTGGCTTGTATTTGGCTGAAAATGCTTCAATTTGCCTTTGTGCTCGGTACTGGGTTTTGGGCAAGTCTCCTTTAATTTGACACCCTTGGACTTTCCTTTATCTAAGTCCAATGTTCAAATATTAACCCAAACACTGGCACTCTCGGAATTCCAACAGATTTTTTTTGTGTTATTTTTACCCTTCTCGTGAGAGAAAATTGTTGGATGCAACGGGTCCTCCTTGCATGACTTATGTGGATATATTGTTCAGAATCATCAGGCCATATACAGGCATATATATATATGTATATATATATATATATAGATATAGATATATATGTATATGTATGTATGTATGGCCACAATCTAATAACTCGACAAACCTTAATACTGCTCACTACAACAGATAAAGCGTTTTAGCGCGGAAATGATTCCTACCCTTAGAGAAACTTCGTATATGCTACATTCATTGGAGACCTAATTTGAAAACCTATATGCATAGGTAACGCTCCTGCACTAAGGTTCTTCATATTTACACGGTTACACCTTCTGAAACAGGGAGATATAAGTTCATAATAATGGAACAAAGAATACATATAACTACGGAGAATACGTTGCAGCTGACTATGTTGGTTTGCGGGGACGAGCAGTCCATAGAGAACTGAGGGCACGTAACCGGTGAAAGTACTCCCCCAGTGCAAGCAAGCCTTGCGCTGCTTGGTGTGTCGTGAGGATTCGAGACATTTGCTGCAGCGTTTGCTGCCGAAGGTGATCTGCCTGCCATGGACAAGAGAAACATACTTTCTACTTCAGCAAACTAATTAACAAGGAGTCAACTGTCAAAAGGTATTTCATGCTTTATGCTTATTAACAATTTCTCACCCCATTGAAGCTTGAATTCTTCAGTAAGTTCATGAACTTATATAGCAGAATCTAAGTCAAATTGTGCTGAGGCATTTTTAAGGGAAAACAGTTCGGTTACAAACTTTTAATAAAAAATAGAACTGAAGGGAAAGTGGGACACCAAACAGAGACTCAAGGGGCTCTAAAAGTGAGTTTATATACGGCTTATGCAGTTAGTAACCATTATATTTGTACATATTACCCATAATCTAAATATAATTAGTGTTGAATATGCAATTTCATTAAATCCCCAACACTAATGAGATTAATTGCAAAAACCATTATTGGAATCTGATGCATCACCTGGCTCAAGAAGCTCTCTAGTGCTTCAAGCTTCTCAAGTGCAGAAGCCATCTGACACCCAAAACTTTCTCCACTCATTTGATCAGCTGCTATGCTCAATGCCAGAGCCTGCTGCAGTTTGTCCATTCCCTGTGATAGCGCATCCTCCGCTTGCTGTGACGATTGCCGCAGGTTACAGAAGTCCAGACGTTGTTGATCAGTCAATGGCTGAAGCTGTGGCAACACAATCTGAAAAAGCGAAACAATATGCACCATGTTACACAATAATAAAACCGTACAATAACTCAACAGAAATAATGTGAACTCAGTTCAGCGTTACATTTAGCAGCTCCGACGGGCGAAATCCACCAATCCAATGAAAATGGCGTTCGACTGATGTTCTCCATATGCCAGACAGTAAGTAAAAGATATCAACCCTTGCAGCATCTGCCTTCATTCGGAAAAGAATGGCATAGTGGTTCAAGCCACAGTCTACGAGTTTTCGAAGTTCTATGTCTGTTGCACGATCATTCAGTGCATTTCTGAGCTCAACAATTTGTCTGTGTTGTTCTTCAACCCAGTGTCCATATTCCATCTCAAATGTAGTGATCCCTGCAAAGATTTGCAGATGGAATTACAGAATGGAACTATAATCACAATAATCTACGAGAATCACTTAAAAATTCTCAAAAAAATACAAAAATTGTGATCAGGTCATTAATATAGGGAGTTCAGAATCACAAACCTGAATTCAAAGCTCCATTGTATCCCATATGGCTAGTACCTAATGAACTGCTTGCATAGGCACCCTGCAAATCAGGCAGTTACGGGTTCATCCAATGATACTAATTCGATTCTGATTAATAAGGAAATGCATCGGGTAACATGAACAAAGATGAAAAAAGTTTCTTCTTTTAACTCACCTGTTTTCTAGCTCTGTCAATTTCCAGCTCCAGCTGTGCCAATTTTAAGCGGCTTGTTTCGAGTTGTTGAACATAAGCCTGTGGTAGTACAAGAAATCATTCAAATAATTTCACAAGTTGTAGCAATGAAATAGACCAATAAATCAAGGCATGTGAATCCTACTCACCTTTTTTCGCATACGACTCTTCCGTGCAGCTTCACGATTTTGTTCTAACCGTCTCTGCACCTGTGTATATGTGCACTTCATAATCAACTTACACGAAAATGAATACAAAAAACAAAAATTGCATCGATGATAGTATGATCTTCTTTATAATTGATGAGATAAATGAACAAATAACAAAAACATGACACAAATATGTTGCCTTGCTTGGAAAGAAAGACAGACAGACAGTAGGGAGAGCAAAGCTATATCACCTTATCAGCAGATCTGCTCGGTTCGTGATCATTTCCGTTTCCGGAAGGCAGCATGGGTTCATGAGAAACAAATCCAATCTAGAGGAAGCAAAAATCAGAAAATTAGTTGAAGTTCATCAGTCAGAACAAATAAAATGAATCTAACATTGAAGAAAAAGGGAACAAAAGATTCATTTTTCGGCTTCACCTTGTTTTCGATACCAGAATCCTCTTCTAGAATTGTGGAAGCAGCTGTGTTAGAGGTGTGATCACCTCTGAAGGTTTCTTTCCACACACCAATTTGGCGGAATGGCTCGTATATCCCCATTTGTCTTGAGGTGGCAAATTGAGTTGATGAATAGCTCATACTCTATCAACAAATTCAACAAACGAAACAAGTAAACAAAGAGATTTCATAACCACTCTGCTGCAAATTCACAGCTCCATGAATAAGACCAATAAATATGGCCCATAGGTATACGCAGATAGAATCGGTTACAAACTTTTAATCAAAAACATAACTGTGGTACGCCAAACAGACAAACTTGACTAGAAAATGGCCTGAAAATTCAGAAATTTAAAACACATAAGGTAACAAGCAAAATCCAAACAAATTATAACTTGAAATTGTCCTAAACTTCTAAGTTAACTACAGTATCAGAAAGTTGGATGATTGGGAACCTTCAAAACTTGGAAACGATTTGCATGGTGAAGTAGAAGCCTCCACAAAAACCAGAAGAAACATCAAAAAGCAAAGATGAAGCATGAAAACATGAAAAGCTTACACTTTAAATAACCACAAGAAGTGGATAAAGATCAGTAAAAAGTTGGGGAGGGAAGTAGATAATTGCTGCAGTAATATTATACGATGTAAACTCCTCGCAAGGAAAAAAAAAAAAAAAAAGATGACTTCATTTACCTTATAGACAATAACTTCAAATTTCAAAACTTTGAGTCATTCAATCAGACCCAACAAATTAATCTTGATTAATTTCTTCAAATGTGGGAATTTGGAGGAAGATGACGAATTGGGTTTTCTGGGTTGGGCTGGGAGGACCCTGGCAATTCAACACTCCCATCGATCATTTGGGAATCATTTGTCACAAAATTTCTCAGAGGCTTTTTAAGCACAATTTTGCAGGAACCCATGAGCCGTCTGTCCACCTTAAAATATTCATTCTTTTCCCAAAGAGCAGTAAACGTTAACGTAGCAACATCCCCACTAACGTCTTATTCATTACTTTTTTTTTTCCTTTTCTTTTGCTTTTGCCGAAAAAACAAAGAAAAGAAAATTGAGCGAAAAAGAGGAGAAATAATTGTGTATTTGGAAATTTTTTTATGGGTAGCACATAGTGTATCCTGAATATGCTATATTACAGTTTTATGATATATTAATAAAAAATAAATTTATTTGTTATAATTGGAGTGAAATAATAACGTCAAGTGACTGTATTTTTAATACATGAAAAAGTTACTCGTGTGCTAGACATACACAACGTAAGTTGGCTAATGTGGTGTATTGTACCTTGCCAATATATAACTAGTATGTTATTAAAATGTGATTTTATAGTTTGGCCCATTTGAGGGACGTCAAATTGAGCGACCATGAATCCAACCGATGAGATGTTAACACTCACAAGGATTTTTTTTTGTTCATTAAAAGAAATTTTTTCAAACAGCCGGGTACTCCACATATTATGATATAAGTAAAGTACATAATGATTTTGCTAACTCAAGGAACATAAAAAGAAGCGACTTTGAGTATCACTATCTATGTATTTGGTATCCTACTCAATTGAGTTGATTTTAACTCATCATACACTATTTTTTGGTTGGTAAAGAGAGCATCACTGCATCAAGTTAAAACCGACATGCAATACACCATACAAATGATATAATACATGTAGATAGATCATATTATGAGTATAATTATGTCACATAAATACAGTAATATTTCGGCATGAATGACGTCAGTTACTTTTGGAAGGACAGGTGGAAAATTCTGGATGGATTGTGAATGGATTGGTGACAGGTGAGGATAGAGAAGGCAATGTATGTACGTTTTAGAAGGGACCAGCGGCAGTTTTGTCATTTCGAGAACATGAGTTGGTGAAGTTGGGAGTACCGTCTGACTGTCTCAGGCTCTCCTTCGTACCAGAAGAATTGTACCTGCGACTGCGAGAGGCTAGAATTTCCAGCCACCAAAACCAAACATGGATGATGATGGATGGGATTTTTGTGTATGGGAGAAATATTTTCGTTTTAAACTACGTTTGCATGCTAAAAACTACAAAGTAACCAAAACAAAATTTCAAGTACGATTAATCACATTTATATGACGGTTTTGCTACTCTAGCACCTCAAGCACTAATCATTCAATAACTTAACTAACCACTTATTTAGGCACCACTTATTTAGGCACACTTTATATAGTAATTCAAGATCTTAACCATTTATTTTAGATCAATCATTCTTATCACATTTATATGACGGTTTTGCTAATCATTCAATAACTTAACTAACCACTTATTTAGGCACATTTTATAAAGTAATTTCAAGATCTGAACCATTCATTTTAGATCATCATTCTTAGATCATACCTGTAAAAAATCACTCAAATTTGAAATCGCTTAGTTGTCTAATTATTATTTTGAACATTTCAATATTTATCGCCAATATTGTGTTCGTCTATTTATCAAGTCAAAATTGGAGGGTTAAGCATTTACTGATTTTAGTGATTTTTTGCAAAGTTGATCTTTCAATGATAAACTAAAATAATGATTCCTTCAGATTATGCGAAACATAGTGAAGCAAGCCTAGAAGAGTGGCTAGCGTTTTATTAATTGAGTTAGCGCTTGAGTGTTCTTGATTACAATCAATCTTGTATTTGGTTTGGTAATTTTCTCCCGAAAATAGTTTCGATTATTTGATTTGTATCGTAATATGATTTGTAGAGGATCCGATTATAATGGTTTTTATCTTTAAATAAAATACAAAATAAGGTATTGGAATAGTTTGTGAAATTGTATATAAAAGAATTCCAACTTAGATCCTAGAATGATTATTATAAGGCTTGAAAAGTGAGAGCATTTTTACTTGCAAGAATGATGGTAAGAAATGTGTGTCATTCTTATTTATGTCATATCTGATAACAGTATTGTAAGAACTAATGGACTGCAGAAAAATGAAGGAAAGGAATGCAGTTGTAGAGAGAGAAAGAGAGCTATGAATTTCAATATATTTCACCAAGTGAATTACAATGACAATTTACACACTTATATATAGCTCAATAGTTGCCTTGCGCTCTAAGCTATTAGCACCAACAACTCTAACTAATAGCTGCAACAATTCTAACAAATTGCCACATCAGCTAGCTAACAACCTTACTAACTGTTTTGCCATATCAAGACAACTAATCATTAGACAATACTACCATTCAGTCAATACTAGGCAATATCCCCCCTCAATCTTAACTTGGGTTGCCAAGTTTAAGATTGTAATATTGCTTGACAAATGAAGGACCATGTAACCCCTTGGTTAGTATGTCAACTGATTGATCTTCAGTAGGAATGTAGCTAAGTTCCAAGTCACCTTGTTGCACTCTCTCTCGAATAAAGTGGTAATCGGTATCCACGTGCTTTATTCGAGAAAGAAACACTGGATTTGCATTCAATGCAATCGTAGACATAATGTCACAATGAATGACTGGAGACGTAGACAAAAATAATTCCAAATCCTTCAAAATATGCCTGATCTAGGCTATATCAGCAGCAATATGAGCCAATGCTTTATATTCTGCTTCTGTAGAACTCTTGGAAACCAAACTTTGTTTCTTTGACTACCAAGATATGGGATTGTTGCCAAGGAAAACAATATATCCTGTGAAACCCCGTCCCAAACTATGTAATTTTATATTCACGAATTTATAAAATCACCATTTTTTTACCTCTTATTCTTTACCCAACCCAGATCCTATTTTTGGATTTTCTCCTAATTCTCCTCCTCTCTCTGCCTGCCACGTGGCAGTTTCCTATCTCCCTCTCTCTTCTTCTCTCTTTTCCCCGGAGACACACACACTCTCTATCTCTCTCTCAGCTCAAACACTCTCTTCTCTCGCTCGAGCTCTCTCTCAGTTCACTCTCCCTCTCTCGCAGATCTCTATCTCTATTCTCTCACCCTTCCGATGAGACACGAACACACCCAAGGAACCACCACCATCACCACCATCGTGTTGGACCTTCTTCCTCTCTCTCCCTCTTCCTTTGTGGAGCACTGAGACACCCAGAGGCCACCCAAACCTCTCCGGCAAACTCGTGGCTTTCGAGCCAAAATCTAACAGAATCCAGCCACTCACAGCGTGAGACAGGTACAAAATCTCTCCCTCTCATCTCTACCTTCATTTTAATAGGTAGATTGTAGGGTAAGGTGGTGAATCAGCGTCGATCGAAGCTCGGGAGGCTCCGGCCTACTTTCTCGACTAAAAATGGGTCAGCTGACCCACACCTGGAAGCCCGGGTCCCCTAGCCTAGAGTTTTGGGTCAAGCTACCAAGCCCAACCCAACTATTAGCCCAAACCCAAACCCTTTTAACCCAAGCCCAAATCCCTTTGGACCTAGGCCTTTAGGCCTTACCAACTAGGGCCCTCGGCCCGTTGAACTTAAACCCAAACCCTTTGGACCCAAGCCCAAAGCTTAGGCCCAAACCCAACAAACCCTAGGCCTAAACCCAACTAACCCAGACCCCAAGTCGAGCGTGAAGGCTCGTGGGCGCAAGCGAAGGGTTGTTGGTGCCAGCCCGTGGAGCATACGCATCGCCTTCCACGGCAGCGTCATCGACTTTTCCAGCCAACTTTTCGGCGACCTGTGGCAGTGAGTGAGAGTGCGTGTGGTAGCATGTGGGAGTACTCGAGGTCCTCCCTTATGTTTTTCAACATCTTGAATCCGTTTATAACGTCCGTTTTCCGAAAATCAATCATTATGATAGAGTTTTATTAATTGGACCCTTTATGTGCTTAGGTGCGATTATTAGCGGCGATTCCGTATTTCCTATTTTGCACGGCTCTTCGACGACAGTGTATCTGTGAGTGGACCTCTTCTAAAACGCATATTTTACTATTAGTAATGCATACATGAAAAGCATGATTTAAATGGTTACATTTTATGAAACGCTTCCTGAGTAAATTAGATTTACACTTCATGATTATCATGTTTTACTAAGAATATTTTGGAATACCATACTTTATCGAATTTATGTTCTTTGTAGTATATATGATGGATGACTATATACTATATATGAACATATTTTTACACTCTTTGTAGTATATATGATGAATGACTATATACTATGAAGATGTTTTGAGATGTATGTACTTACATGGGAAAGATTATATTCAATATTTTTGTGCTTATCTAGTGGTCACTGTTCTGCCTACGGGCGATGATACTTATATTGGCTTCGGTTGGGTGATGTAGTGGCCTACGGGTCGGAAGATATTCATATATTTGGCCTATGGGTCGGGTGATATAGTGGCTTTGGTCGATTATGATACCACTATTTAGCACATTATATACGATATATATTTTATGGAAGATTTTATGGCATGCTAGGGTTTTTCGGAAAACCTATTACATATTATACTATTGAGTTTCTATAAAACTTTAGGGGTTAGCACGTTGTTGAATAACTGTTTTAGTATTATATATCAACTTGGTCCACTCATGTTTGTTTTGCGCCCCCTCAGGACATAGGAACGAGGCATATGATCCAAGCTACGAGGCATTCCCCTACCAGTGATATCTTATCATCCTCTCTGCTTTGACACCATTGTAATAGCACATTCCGCTTGTATTCTGAATTAGATATATGCTCTGAACATGTCATGCATTATCACTATCTTTTTTTGACATTTGAATATTACTTTGCGTAGTTCGCGCGAAATTTATATGCATGTTTCACATGTTCTCGGCATATGCATTTATTAAATGACTTTCATCATGCTCAGGTGTCGGCCATCACGTGACCATCCTGATGTCCCCCAGACATCGGGATCAGGGCGTGTCATATCCAATCACAGATCTTCGAGTATTCAAACATGCGGCCCAATCTAAGTCTGAGAAAGTATTAAGAGTTGGGTCTGCATCCGATGAATACACAATA